TGGCCCAGGATCGAACATTGTTTCGTTCTGCTGTGCATGGAGTCGCTATGAGTCGGTTCCGACTCGATGGCACCTGACAACAACAACAACAACAATTCAAGTTGGATAATGAGAGTACTATTGAAGCCCTCTGTTTCTGGTTTCCATTTTCCCTTTCCCCTGAGGTCAGTGCTGCCGTTTTGATGCTGACTAGTTGACCGTTCTATGGTGAGCATACCTCCCGACTGTTGTTGTTCCTCTTATAGACCTATCTACTGCTTGGCTGAAAACTGAGCCACGGGGACAAGTTTAGTTCCAGACCTGAAGGGGAACGGAGAGCTAGAGTCTCAGGGTTCCAACTAGAGTGGATTATATTGATTTAGCCCTGTCATGTACTATGCCAATCCAAAATCTGTCTTGACTTGGCTGGTCCATGATTCTCAGTGTTTGAGCAGTTATGTGAAGATCTGATGAGATAAGCCAATAAAAGGATTGAGGGTGGGCGGCAATTTCCTTAATCCCATCACAACCCTGATCAGATGGTAGGGAGTTTTCCAGGGTTGTGGCCGGCAACATCTTTTATTTTACAAGAGAGAAAAGGAGAGAGAAGCGAACACAGGACAGACCACCACCAAGAAAGAAGAGCTGGGATACATCCTTTGGACTTGGGGTTTCTGCACTTTGAGACTCCTTGATTCAGAGGACGATTGATGCTAAAGTGGTTAGCCAGCTCCAAGGAATGTTGGGATTACAGATGCTGAAAGGAGATAGGGACCTTTCCCCAGAGAAGAAAAAAAGTCTTTCCTTCAAGCTGGCCCTCTGAATTTGGACTTCTAGCCTCCTAAATGGTGAGAATAAATTCCTGTTGGCTAAAACCATCCTCTTGTGGTGCTTGTGATAGCAGCACTAGAGAACTCAGCCAAACCCCAAGCTGTGACATCACAGGTACCTGTGGAAAAGGAAAGCGTCTGTGGTCACCACTTCTTCCACTATGAAGATGAACATAGGGTATTCCCAAGTGGAAAGAGTGCTGGAATTAGAGCCTAAAGCTCAGAGCACAAGGTATCTGCTTTTCCTGCTGATCTAAGACCTTGAGCAAATCACTTTACTTTTATGCATCTTGGTTTCCTTATTTCTGAAGTGACTAGTCTTGTTCGTTTCACAGAATCATTTCAGAAATCAAAGGGAAGGGTTATGAAGTCATATGCTCACTATTAATCAGTTTGCAAACATGATTAAGTTTTACAAAATCATTCCTATGATTATGTAGAGGGTGCTAGTGATACTGTAGGATAAACACTGGACTGCTAACTATAAGGTAAGCAGCTCAAACCCACCAGCTGCTCTGTGGGAGAAAGATTTCGATTTTGTATGAGTTGGAACTGACTTGATGGCACTTACAGTAACAACATGATTCTGTAGAGGAGCTCTCAGTTTTACCTAGTTCCCATCAGGATAATGATGCAGGCCACACACTTTGCTGTCTTGTTAGGAGAGAATCCAACCATCCCTGAGCCTAGTGAGTTCTTCTCTTTAACAAATTGTACATAATATGGTTTAATAGTCCAAGATGGGCCTGCAGAGCAAGTGGGGGTAACTTGAGACTTTTCTCCTTGCTGAGAATAGAGAAGGAAAAGGATGCGAGAAAATGTTGGAAACTGGTAGCAATGCTGTTCGTTACATTTTTGTTTTTCTCCTGGGTTAATTTTATGGAGACAGCCTCTGACTGTTGAAAAGCCAAGCATTTTGGTGGAAATTCACTTGTGTTAGAAAAGTCTCAATCTCTTAGTCAATACTGTATTGTGTCACGCACTAGAAATAAAACATAAAGCACAGCACACAAGATCATTTGCATTATGAATTTATTGTTCAACAAAGAAGGAAAGCAACGAACAATTAATGAGAAATCAACTTAAACTAATGGTTAAATTCTGGCAGTGTCAACTTTTTCATCTGGGGAAGAATGCAGTTCACCACCATCTAAGGCTCTCTTTCTAGTGGCTGTACTGCTGGGTAGAGGCGGACACAGCCACCCCTCATTCTGTCACAGCAACAGGAGGGAAAAGTAAAACAAAGGAGGTAAGTTAGGGTCTCCTCTGAGGAAGGGCTAGACTAATACTAAGAGGAACACATGCAGCAGGGATGACTGATGTTTCTGTCACTCTTGTCACTTTCAAGTTGCAGTTACATTTATGTGTGCAAAGAAAAGCTGACATCTGACTTTTCTTTGCACAATCAAAGATGTTATAGAAAAGAACTTCTGGGCCTGATCTGAAGGAGGGAAGCCTAGGAAACAGGAAGTGCTAAATAGATGAGTGCCAATCAGCTGCCCTAAAACTGCGGCCTGCTTCTCAGGACAAGGCCGAGCGTGTGCCCAGGACAGAGTGGAGGCTGTCCAAAGGCTGTACATGAGCACAGGCACACACAGGTGTGTGTAAAACCATGCTTTTTTTTTTTTTTTTTTAAAGAAAAACAAAACAAAAAAGGTTTTTATTGTGAATTGAGTGAAGGTTTGCAGAGTAGATCTTCAGTTATACATTCAATAAGTCATATGCTTCACTTCATCTCAATGATTGCCATCCCCTCCAAGTCACACCAGTTATCCCACTTCCTCCCTGGGATGCATGTTTCCATTCCACCCTCCTTCCCAAACATTCTGAATGTTGTCCTTAGGTAAATACTGCCCTTTTGATCTCAACATTCCAGGGTATGCGCACCTCACTAGTGTGGTTCCCCACCCGCCTCCGCCTCCCGTAGACCTATCTACTGCTTGGATGAAAAGGGGGACACGGGAGTGAGTTCAATAATTCCAGACCTCACTGGGGACCAAAAGCCATAGTCTCGAGTTCCCCCAGGCTCTTTCAGACCAGTAAACTTTAGCAGACTGAAATTTTGAGCTTTGCTCCACATTTTCTCCCACTCTAGCCAGGACCTGTTTCTTCACAACTTTGAAACCTGCCCAATCCTTTAGTAAGACAGAAAAGAGAAACACTCACTGTACAAGGACTCCAATTCAGACGGTAAATTGCATCCGATGTAAGCCCCATTTGTAATACAATATTCAAGCAAAGCACAGAAACAGGGCTCCTGTGAGGAGGGGGGAGGGAAATAAGGCTGGCTGCAAATCACACTTTTGAGTCAGAAAAACACAGATAGCATGTACACAGACAGGCACCCTGCCCAGGGGCTCTTCTCAGCTAAGTCAAGGACCATCACACAGCAGATCCCAGGCCCAAGAGAATGTGAGGATGTCTCCATGCTCAGGAAGCTGGTAGCTCAGCAGGGACTTGTTCCCTGTGCTCCTTTCTGAGTACAGGTCTCAGGACCAGGGTGACCCGAGTCACAGGTGTGACCTGGGTGACCCTAGTCACAAGCTGGCCGGACTCTGCCTCCACAGCAGTTATTTTCAGATGACATGATCCCTTTTCCCTTCCCATCTCGTTGCAACAAAAGGTCCAAACAGCCCCCACCCCTGGGGGAAACTCACTCTGACCAGAATGTGAGGGTTTCCAAGCACAATCAGTAACGCTTTGGCTCTGGTGACGGCAACATTAAATCGTTTTGCACTGGCCAAGAATCCCAAAGAAAAGTTATCATCCTGAAAATTGGTTTCATTTGACCGTACCTAAAAAAACAAATCATTTTTTGGTGTCATGTAAAAAAGGTCACACAACATATGGAATAGTTTAGAAATGTCACTAATTGTGTCTCTCTTTTTTTTGGAAAAAAACAACAGAAACAAAACAATATTACCTATTTGCATATACCAAAAAAACCCCAGCAAAACCCACTGTTTTAGCCCTGGTGTGGTGCTGTAGGATAAGCACTCAACTGCAAGGTGGGTTTGAGCCACAAGGTCAGCAGTTCAAACTCACCAGCTGCTCCTCGGAAACCCTATATAGGGTTGTTATGAGCTGGAACTGACTCAACGATACTTCCCAACAACAAACCCCCTGCTAGGCAGTCTCTTCCAACTCGACGATACTTCCCAACAACAAACCCCCTGCTAGGCAGTCTCTTCCAACTCGGTAGTGACCCTGTACATCTTTATAGGAGCAGACAACCTCATCTTTCTCCCATGGAACAGCTGATGGGTCACAGCGCCACTCAGAGCAAAATGTTTAGAAGGAAACACTCCAAAATACTAACAGTGGTAAATCTTGGTGGCAAGATTATGAATGAATTTTATTTTCTTATCAGAATTTAAAAACTTATAGTTAACATGGAGGCCTGGTGTGGTGCTGTGGGTTAATGCGCTAGACTGCAAAGCCATTTGAACTGCAAGGTCAGTGGTTCAAGCTCACCAGCCGCTCCTCGGAAACCCTATACAGGATCGCTATGGGTTGGAATTGACTCGATGGCACTTAACAACAACAACAACATAGTTAACATATACCATGAGTTGAATGTTGTTAAGTACCATCTGACTCACAGTGACCTTGTAAAGGGTTTCTGAGGAGTGGCTAGTGAGTTTGAACTACCGACCTTGAATTTAAAAGCCTCTTATGCTATTTCACTTTCGTCCCCTTCAATTTCCACCTCTTTCCTAACACTCTGGTGGCTTTTTTTTTTTTTTTTTTTTTTGCAATGTCCTGTCCCACTTCCGCTAGTGTTTTTGCCACCTTTCCCAGGATTCCTTTCCTTTATCATTCTATACTTCAAATTATTAAAAGACTTCTGCTCAAGAAGTCTTCATCCCACAACTGAAAACAGCCCAAATGCTACAGTGGGTTACTGGTTAGTTTTGTTTTGTATATTTGAATGCAATGAAAACAATTCCAGTGACTTCACATACAGTTGAAATGATGATAGCCATGTATTCTTGTCCTTGAAACTCTTCTACTGATCCAACCTTGATATTCACCAAATCCATGCTTTGCAAGAGAATTTTGATTTTTTCCACCTTTAAAACAGACAGAACCAAGAGGTTACAGATAACATGTTTAGATACAGCCATTTATTTTTACATATAATAGTGTCAGCCAAATATTAAGCAATGTGCAAGATCAGTTTCTGTCAATACCAAGCCCAAATCCACTACCATCAAATCAATTCTGACCTATAGTGACCCCTACATAAGGATTCCAAGACTCTCAAACTTTACAGGAACAGACAGCCTCATCTTTCTCTGGACAAGTTTAAACTACACTTCATCAAGTGTGAAATACATTGATTGTAAACCAAATCCTGATTTTGGATATGTTACAGTTGGGAAAATACCTTCCATCTCATCCAAGTCCATAGCAATGATAGAGGAATTGTATTTTGTAAATAAAAAATAAAAATAAATTTAAAAAAAAGATTTGTCCCCACCTAAAAGTGAGAAAACTCTCTTCATGGAGTGAACTGTCCCCTGAACCACTGAGCCGTGGTTCCCAGTGGTTTGCCAGTCATGAGATGATGGAATGGGGACAGTTAGAGGATGATGGAATCATCTCCAGGAGGAGATTTGCTCTGAGCAAACAATCAGCTGAAAGAGAGTCTCAGGAGTGTAGTCTGCATCACCTTTTATCTTACTAAAAGGAGAAAAAATGGAGCAGAGGAGAGGGACCTATTGCCACCAAGAAGAAGAGATAGGAGTGGAGCACATCCCTTTGGATTTGAGGCTCTTGGGCTGTGAGCCTCTTAGACTCAGGGAACATTGATGCCAAGACACATGAAAATCACCAGAAATGCTTAGACCACAGATGTTGAAAGGAGAAAGGGACTTTCCCCCTAGAGCCAACATAGAGAAAACTTTCCCCTAGAGCTGGCACCCTGAATTCAGACTTCTGACCTCCTAAACTCTGAGAGGATAAATTCCTGTTTGTTAAAGTAACCATGCACTTACGGAATTTCTGTTATAAGAGCACTAGATAGTATAAGGCATGGATCCAAAAACCGAGGAAGATGGGAGCTGAAGCCAGAGCCTTGAGCAAAAGTAAAATGCTGTGATCAGAAATGCAGAGCCAAAGGGTTCCGGGTTGTGACAGGAATAGGGAGGGAGTGATGCAGGGAAGAAGCAGTGTCTGTGCTGTTGCTGAGGTTGGTCTCAGGGACACTTATTTTCCTGTGACACGGTTATCAACACAAAACATAAATCTACATTTTTATGAAGTGAAGGCATAATTCTGAGTCTATTAAAATCAGCCTGAAATTCAAATCAACTCAGCAAAAACATACTTTGTGAAAGGCAAGAAACTATTATCTCACTATTAGCACTCCTTAATCTTCCTGCATCTCTGAGTTCATTCGACTTCAGCACCTTGATTCTAAGCATACATCAGGCGCCAGGCTCTCTGCTACATGCTGGGGACATAGTAGATGATGAGACAGATGTGGATTCCTTACAGTGTAGTTGGGAAGACATATAAGGAAATAACAGGCAATGAAGTGGAGTAAATGCTAGGAAAGATTATAGGAGCAGAGAAGAGCCAGGGTCAAACTGAAATCAGAGGGACTAGGTCAGAACAAACGAATCTCTGCAGATGTCCAAAGGATCCATCCATCCACCCAATGAACACTTCCTATTTGCCTCTTGTTCTTGGTGCTGGAAACACAACCGATTACCAAAACAAAAACCTGGCTCTGAATGCATTTTGATGATGGTTGTGAGAGACACATGCAATAATATGGAGCATCAATTGTAATAAGTACTCCAAGAAACAATGAAGGAACCTAAGGGTATACAGTATGACTGGGAGCAGGGGAATCATCAATATAAGGACTATCAGGGAGGGCACATTTGGGGGGTGATAATGGAGCAGAGAACTGAATGAAGGGAAGGAGCAAGTCCTGTCAATGTCATGAGGCCCTGCCTCTCCACATGCTGCCCCTTGTGCCTGAAAACTCTTGTCATGCTTCCAGGTTTGGTGTCAGTATCACCATTCCCAAGAAGCCTTCCCTGACGACTCCCAGAGTCAGAGTGCTCTTGGGTTCTGCATCTTTCTAAAAGTACCTTCTACTTGGCACAGTAGATTGTGAGGTCCCGGAGTGCAGTGTTTGTGCCTCCTGTCTGTGCAAACTCAGGGACATAGTGCAGTAACTGACACAAGAGCAGGCTTCAATTTTTAAAATGAAGAAACCATTTTAAAAATAATATTTACTACCTCCTTTCCAGAGTCTCCCTGAATTTATGAATCTGGCCCTTCCAAAGTTTGATTATATAGATTATTCCCTTCTTAATGCCCCATTCAGGCTGGTGATGGGCACAGGATCTGACCTCACAGGTGTATGGCCAATTAGGAAGATGCAGAGGACTCATCTGTCTACTCAAATCCAGGTCCTACAAGAACACAAAGGAAGGTCTACAGCTGATGAGGGTGGTCTGGGAAGGAGTAAGAACGATACGTTTCCAGAAACCTTACTTGATAGGTGACAAATAACACATTTAAGACAGAAATGTAAAATATGGTTATTATTTCCAGACATAGTTCACACAACTGTAAATTGGAAGATGGCAACTGCAGGCTGTCTTCCAAGAATGGGAACAGGAAGGAAAGGAGGCAACCCTCTAATAATAAAAGAACACCATGTAATAGGTCACAGCAGAGATCACTGGGGTTAAGACTCCGGCTTGACCAAAATAGTTGAGCACAAAAGTTATCACTCAAAAGGGGGTGGGGGGGGGAATGGTCTGGCCATGAAATCCTAAAATTAGAAACATCAGGGAGATGAACTATAGCTATGTCCCTGGCCACCTCTCCCCACAGCATTCCAGGGGAGAGCACCTGCTGCCCATTATGAATGTCAGTCTGCTCATGCTTGGAGGGGTCATGTGAACTCAGTGCCTTTATACATACTTGCTTCACTTTGTTGGCCCACCTGAGATAATGTTTTTAATGATAAAACAGCAAAGAAAAATCCTGACCTCTAAACTTGAGTCTCTTTTGAATCAGTAACAGTGAAGTGCCATAAATACAATCATGTCAGAATGCCAATCAGGCTATGGCTCTTGCCCTTTAAGGTGAAAGCTGTACTTGAGTTTCTCCAGAGAAACGCAAATAGCATTTTCAGCAGGTCTTCATTGGGAAGCAGTGTTCCAAGACTGACACACTGTGTAGGAGTGTCCCATGCTCCACTAAATGCCAATAGTGCGCCCTAGTTATTGGGACAACCTGAAAGAGCCTCACCCATTTCCAAAAGCTCACTGAAGGTGAAATCACCCTCAGGTGACAATCACTGTACCAAGGTAGCAACATCTTGCAGCCAGCCTCCTACAAGCTACATGTATAACTACGCAGCTTCATCATTTGACCATTGTCCAGTATGGTCATATTTTCAGCACATTGAAAGAAAAATCCAGGAGGGTTTTAACTAAACATGAATTCTAGTTCCAACACTAACTAGCGGTATGATATTCAGCAAACTATTTTTCTTGTTTGAGCCTTCATAATCTCCTCTCAAACAGAGAACTAAGTACCTACCTCACAGAAAACCACCTTTTTTTCTTGTTTGAGCCTTCATAATCTCCTCTCAAACAGAGAACTAAGTACCTACCTCACAGAAAATCACCTTTAGAGTAAAATAACATTCTGTCTTTTCGGGGCTTAGCCTAGTGCATAGCACATTAACATGCACTCTTGTCTTAGCACCAGGGACTCAGGAATGTTAAATGTTGAAAATCACATGAAACAGAGCCACAAAGAAATTACTTTTCCTATCCAGAATACCAGTGGTGGCTCCTTTATGAAATACTGTCCTTCCATTTAAAATGAGCTTATTTTTGCCTACCACAGCATTTTATGAATGGCCAAAGAAGGAGACCTGCAATGACATCATAAAAAGAGGCCCTTGGGAAAGCAGCTCCCTACCTGCTTCCAGTAGGGAGTGATCACACCAATGTCGTTCTGTGACAGGTCACTCGAGGCACACTTGGTAAGAAGGCAGCAGTAACGCATGACTTGCACAGCTTCAGTTATATTGAACCATGAAGTGCTTCTTCCTTCCTGCATTTCAGTGCCCTATGTATAAGGAGGGGAGAGACAAGAACAAAACTGAAACTACAAAATTCCATTTGCTCAACAAGTGCTATTAATGTTCTATGTACAAGAATAACATTTTACAAATCTGACCATTTATGAGTTAGGTGAAAGCAATACAGCAATAAATAAAATGGAAAAGAGCCCTTTCTTAGGGATCGCACAAATAGCAGGGAAGACCGACATTAATTACATAATGACCAACAACAGTCCGAAGTGCTACACAGACGGCAGATCTTATAGTTCGGAGAACTGACAACGCCAGAATGGGAGTGGTGGAGTAGTTATGGAGGGATTCCTTTATGAAAGGAAAGCTGAGGCTAAGTCTGGCGGCTTCAGCGGCCAAGAACACAGGAGGTAGGAGAGGAGGGTTATAAGTGGAGGGGACAGCATGCCTGAAAGTGGGAAGGATCATGATGCGTTAAGAATGAAAAAAGGCTGATGTAGCTACAGAGCTCAGAAGGTACAGGCAGGAGTGAAAATGATGGCAGCGAGAGGCAAACGGATCATTCTGTATCAGAAGATGCAGACAATGAGTACCCTGTGGAAAGCCAAGCAAGCTCTCCACACTAGCTTAGCCATTCCTTCTCAACAACTAGAGTTTGCACTCTCTCTGAAGCGAAAATGTGCCCATCTTGGAATAAAAACAATACCCCTTATATTAATGGAATGGAAAGGTACAAACTGATAAAAAGAAAATTAAATGAACAGCAACTGGTAAAACGATCAAATCAAGTAAAAAGAAAGAGGAAAGAATAATAAACATTAATAAAAGTAAGGTGAAGGAATAAAATTAAATGTAGAGTAAGCGATATGACCTCATTACACATTCAACATTCTTCTGATAAATTCCTGTAAGTCTTATGTTAGCAAATGGCTGCTAAACAGATCTAACAATAGATCATATTTAAGTACCTATTACTTCACAGGCCATTCTCTAAACCCTAGAGATGTGTTAAAGAAGCCTTGGTACTGTAATGGGTTATGCGTTGGGCTGCTAACCACAAGGTCAGCAGTTTGAGTTCACCAGGTGCTCTGTAGGAGAAAGGTTAGGCTTCCTGCTCCTATAAATATTTACAGCCTCAGATAGCTACGAGTTGGAACCTCCATGACACACAACCACCATATATGTTTTAACTCTTTTAATCTGAGAAGTAATCAGCTGTTTGCCTAAGCCTCCCCAGAAGTTAAAAAAATTCCAAATGGGAGAAAGATTCTTTCTTATAGGGGTTTTAATGTACAGTGTCTGTCATAGAATGTTGTTGTTGTTGTTAAGTGTCGTCGGGTCGCTTGCGACCCATAGCGACCCTGTATAGGGTTTCCAATGAGTGGCTGGTGAGCTTGAACCACTAACGTTACGGTTCAAACTGACATTGTAGTTCAGTGCATTAACCCACAGCACCACACCAGGACTCCTGTCATAAAACAGGCACTTATTAAATGTTTGATTAATTCTTTTTTTAAAAGTTTTTATTGGGAATTGAGTGATCATTTACATGGGGGAACATCGGTTTTACGCTCATCCTATCATATTTCGTTTCATCGCAATGATTACAATCTCCTTTATGCATTAGCATTCAACAGTATTTGCTTCTATTCCCTCAGTTTTTTGTTTGTTTGTTTTTTAATGTTTCATTGTGAATGATGTGATAGTTTATATGGGAGAGCATTAGTTTTACATTCATCCTATCGTATATCGTTTCATTGCCATGGTTAAATGTTTGATTAATTTTTGACTCATAAAATATACCTACTCCTCACTTACTGACATAGTTAGGTTCCAAAGACCAGGTCATTATGAGAAAATGGAGGATAACCATTGTATCACAAAATGGAGGATGTGTACATCATGACATAATTGTCAGATTACATCATTCACAACTGCCAAAGCAGAGAATTGTGGCTGTTACATGGACACATATAACTTTGCCCACTGCGGCCAGTGTTCGTTACGTTACTCTTACCTCACACTTCCGCATTCATTACTGACAGATGTATGTTGTTAACGCACAAAATAGCTGGGTAGGTATTTTACTATGTTTGTATATGAGAAATGTCAGACGAGGTAGGCATATGCACAGAACACACATAAAACATAATCCATTTAAATAAAAGAGTGTGTTAAATCTTATTTTGCACCTGAACTGACTGACTTCCCAGTATACTATTTTTACTTAACATAAAAAAAAAAATCAAGCATACAGGAGTTCAAAAGGTAGAAACGTACCCTCACACCGTGAAAAATGAGAGGAAAACCCTTTTTAGGCAATTTCTCCCAGCTCAGCAAAGAATTCACTACATAAGGATCTGCAAAATTACGGAGTTCTTTATGGTAAAAAAGTTTAGATGGCAACGCAAGCAAAGCAGAATGAGATCGGTAGTTCTTCACAAGCTTCGTAACCTGTGAAGAGAGCATATGGGGCCTTTTAAAAGGGGGCTCGGTATGCAACGTACAAGCAACAGTTTCTGTCAACAGAATAAAACACAGTTTGTTTAACAGATGTTAAGACCCACATCAAATTCCACCATCGCTGGACAACTTCCCCTCTTCTGTGAGCACTTGCACACACTCTTCATCTCAAAGTGAAACCAGTTATTTAGAAGGCATTCTCACCACTTGAGGAGCCCTGGTGGCACATGGGTAAAGCACTGGGCTGCTAACTGCAAGGTCGGCAGTTGGAACCCACCAGCACTACTCGTGAGAAAGATGAGGCTTTCTGCTCTTGTGAAGATTTACAGTTCTGTAAACCCTGTGCAGGAGTTATACTCTGTCCTGTATGTAGGACCACTATGAGTTGCAATGGACTCCACAGTGGTGGCTTTTCTCACCACTAGATCAAACTTCTGAAATGACTTATTTAGAAATGTTCAGTCCACTTTTAATATAAATTTGACTTTTGGAAATAAACAGAGATGAATATTAATCAGCAAAGAAAAGAGAGACTCTCTTTGAGCTTATCCTTTGATGTCTATACAAAATGAGGAGAGGCAGACTTTCTGTTAGGAGGGGAGCGTTGACACTGTTCCATGGAACCAGGAAGCAAGACAGTCTTGGAAAGGATCAAGGCTGAAGGCAGCTGCTATGCATATTTCATATGCCAGTGAATTGTCTGGCTGCATGTAACTCTCTTGGTTCAACACCCTGTGACTCCACTGTCTAGACATGAGGCCTCATTTAAGCTGTCTCAGCTCAGCTGCATAGAATGAACGGGTTCAGGGTTCCTAATGCTGGAGTCCTAGTGTGGCACTGTAGGATAGGTACTGGACTGATAACCACAAGGTTGGCAGTTCAAGTTCACTAGCCACTCCTTGATAACCCTATTCAGGGCCTCTATGAGTCCAAGCCAACTAGTTCGCATTTAACAACAACAACAACAATGCTGGGGTGGTTATGTAAATGATGACAACTTAAGACACAGGGTGGCAGTGAGAATTTTCCATTCATCTCCCAACTTGGGAGATTTCAGTTGTGATTGTATTGAGGGAGTTAGTGATGATAATAATGACATCATTAGTATGGTGAACGAGACCAATATAAATATATAGGTTCAAAGCAAAGTACTCCTGGACTGTACAAGTTTAGAGAATATGGCTGGGGACTACTGAGGACCAATGTTACAGATACAGAATTTCAGACCTAGTGTTCTGGGGGAGATTCTTTTGTTTGCAATCAACATGATTTATTATTGTTGGTGTGAACCTTGATTGACTAAGGTAGTGTTTGGCCTTCTAGTGCACCTCCTCTTTGACATTTGTAAAGAAGTCACCATGCACAGCCCACCCTGAAGGTGTGTGAACCTATACTCCACCTAGGGGGAGAGTCTTAAAATATCAAGATTCCAGAAGCCAGATGGTGATTTGGAAGTCTGCTGAAATTCTAGGAATAAGCACCTCAGGTGACTAATGTAACTGGTAAGGGAAACACTGCCTTAACTTTTCTATTTTCTTTTCTTTAGGACAAGTTTTTTTTTTTTTTAAAGTTGACCTCAAGTTGATTCTGACTGCTGGTGACCTTGTGTATGTCAGAGCAGACCTATACTCCACAGGGTTTTCAAGAGCTGAGTTTTAGAAGTAGATCACCAGACTCTTCTCTGGGAGAACTTAAATTGCTAAATTTCTAGTTAGCAATCAAGTGTGCTAATCATTTGCACCACCCAGGGACTCCTAGGCCAAGTTACAAAAGCTATTTACAATTTTCCCTTCATTAACAGAGTGACATAACTGATAATCTTTTGCTGGAATTAACCCTATCAGAAGTCTTATATCAACAGAAGACTGCCTGGAATTTCCAGAGCACCCTGATAAATCAAGGTTCAGCATCTCTGTGACAAAAGAGCAAGTTCAGTATGTGGTGGTGGCTGTTGGTGTGCTGTTGGGTCAATTCCGACCCCTAGAAACCCTGTATAGGGTTTCTAAGGTTTCTGTAAATCTTTATGGGAGCAGAAAACCTCATTTTTCTCCTGTGGAACAGCTGGTACGTTCGAACTGATGACCTTGTGGTTGTATCAGTCCAACATGTAACCTATTATGCTAGCAGGATTCCTTAGTATGTGGCTGTTGTTGTTATTAGGTGCCATCAAGTCAGCTTCAACTCACAGCAACCCGTAATAGGGTTTCCAAGGAGTGGCAAGTAGGTTTGAACTACCGATCTGTTGGTTAGCAGTCCAGTGCTAACCCTATAGCGTCACACCACGACTTCTAGTATGTAGTTAGGGGAAATGAATTTCAACTGGCATTCATACATTCCTAGTGGAATTTCTGCTGTCTGCTCTTCAATGAGTTTTCTTAGGTATTTCGGCTTCTTACAGTAGAGAGGGGTGAGAGGAACTGAAGGCTATTTCTACTTAATAGCTGAGCATTCTCTCAAGTCTTGCCATTCTTGGCATTACAGAAAATGTTTGCAGTGGATTGTGACTTTCGGAGGATGCAGAAATAATTAGTGGTAAAGCTTAATTCACAGTTACCAAGTTGACACAGAATTGTTCATTTATAAGCCAAGGAGAATCTTTCTATGTGGTTAGTATTTGCTGTAATACAACTTCACTTACATATTAAGAGAAACAATGAAAAGGTGAATGTTTACTTACTATCAAAGGATTGTATGCACCATAGTCACCAAACAAATTTTCATCTGTCTGATACACTGGCCGACACATCAATCTTTCCAATAGGGACACATTCAGCCCATAAACCAAAGCAAGTTTGGATTTAATGACTGGTCCAAGCTGCATGGGGTCTCCAGAAAGCACAATCTATGTATGCATACACAAAAAAAAGAAGGCTAGGGTATTTTTCCCCTTAAAAATATTTCAAGACCATATAAATAAAACCTTCAATTACCATAGAGAAGGCAAAAACACAAACAAAACTGGCTTTATGTTTTCTAGAGAAGTTTGAGTGTGTTCCACAAAGGCAAAGTGTTATGGTAGTCTTGCCAGAATCTTTCCATGATTTAATAAAATCTTCAGAACATTCCCAAAGGTAGGCCCTGCTATCTCCAATATACAGAGACACTGAGATTCAGATGGTAATGTCTTGGCCAAGATAACTTAGCTACAACATAAGACAGGCAGGACTGGAACCTAGGTCTCTCTGACTCTAATGCTGCAGTTTTTTACTTAGGTGTTTCCCTAACCATGACTGAATGTACTGGCTATGTGTTCAGTACTCCATAAAGAAATTCAATGCACACGGCAAGTCTCATCCAGAGCCTCATTCCATTCCCATTTGCTGTTGCCCACAGTATACATCTCTACATTTCCTTGACATTACTCCCCTCCTTGCAGTTGTATGTATATCATCACCCTATCACTTTAAGATAGATCTTGAAATGTTCTTTTTGATGATGACTGCGATGCCATTCCTCTTCAATTTGTCATTCCTGGCATAGTAGACCGCGTAGTTGTCAGATTCAAAATGGCCAATACCAGTTCATTTCAGCTCACTAATGCCTAGGATATCAATGTTTATGTGTTCCATTTTATTTTTTTGACAACTTCCAATTTTCCTAGATTCATTTTTTGTACATGGCATGTTCTAATTATTAATGGATGCTTACAACTTATTTTCAGTTGTGCCCCATCAGCAAATGAAGGTTCTGAAGCTTTACTCTATTCGAGTCATCACGGTCAACTCTACTTTGAGGAGGTAGCTCTTCCCTAGTTGCACTTTGAGTGCCTTCCACACTAAGGGGCTCATCATCATGCACTGTATCTGACAATACTCTGGTGTTATTTATCATGTTTCAACACTCAACATTCTGGTGCTGACAGTTTTCAGTGTCTAAATGTACGGAAATAGTCTATCTCTCATTCTTCCTAGTCTGTCTTAGCCTGGAAACGCAGCTGAATCTTGTCCACATGGGTAGCCCTACTGGTATTTAAAATATCGATGGCGGCAGTGGTGCACAGTTCTACTCTGACACACATGAGGTTGTCATAAATCAAAATAAGCTTGGTGGTGTACGGAAAAAAAAAAAAAAGAAACAATCTATGATGGTTTGTGGTGACAGGGAAAATTATTCATGGGCTAAAGGGCAGACATATGTTGATATAAGTGACAAGCAGATAATATACAAGAAGAGAGAGGTTAGCAGAGAAAAGAAGGTAGCAGGAGACACAGGGAGGAATGTAATAGTTAAGTGAATAGAGGTAAATGCTGTTAACCGTTGGTACAAGGAGGGTACTGCAAACATGTAATGAAGCAAAGTATGTGATTTGTTCAATGTAAAACTGATGATCTGCTCTGAAAACCTTCACTCAAATCACAATAAAAAGTTTAAAAAAAAACCCCACAAGTTTATATAATTGACTGCCTTATGTATTTGGTTTCTCCTGTCTATTATTGTAAAATGGAGTCTTGGTATGGAACTGTGTGGGTTAATGTGCTGAACTGCAAAGTCAGTTTGAACTGCAAGGTTGTTGGTTCAAGCTCACCAGCTTGAACAGCTCTCCTAGGAAACCCTATACAGGGTTGCTATGGGTTGGAACTGACTCAACAACAACAATAATTATTTAAAAATAGATATGCAAGTGTGATAGAAGTGAATACTGGTAATTATGATTACAGATAGCTTGTAAGGCTGCCTTCAGATTATAGGTTGGTTGGATTTGCTAAAAGGGGTGTTAGAATTTGCACAGAAAGAAACAGGCTTTTTGCTTTAAACTTTTGTAGAGTATGGACTTAGGTGGAATCCTGAGCCCCACCCAGAACCTTCAGAATTGGGACGTTTTCATTTTAAAAGCTATTCAGACCAACCCAGAAACTGATGAAAGAACAGGAGATTCATGCAGAAAAGAAGCAGACAATTTGAGATTCCAGCAAGCTGTTTGCTTTGGAGGCATCAAGGTAAGGAAATTCTGTGCCCATCAGAGAAAATCTCCTTCTAGGACTGAAAGTTAAAGGGAACCGTCGATCTGTGTGCTCACTGGTGACCAACTGTGTCTGCTTGTGAGTGGAATTGGGGGATATACAGCAATGAAGACAAAGGCTGTGTCTCAACATGTTCTATTAGCACCCAGGGACCCTGAGATGAGAGAGAGAAGAGGCAGGACTGGCTTGTCTGAAGTTGAGGGGGGTTGTGTGAACTCCTGAGCTCATGGGCACTGACCTAGCTCCTGGGAGCTAGAGCTGAAAAGTGAAAGGGGCCAAGCTGGTTTGAAGTGAAGGGAGGTGTGTGTGAACTGCCAAACCTGCAAGCTGGTACGCATTTAACCTAACTTGGATGGCTAAGGATGAACTGTGACCAGAACCCAACCAAATGAAAGTAAAGATGTTTGATACTGTGAGCAAGTATAAATTACTATAATTTGATGGATTAGACTTTTATTTATGGATGCAGTTGCTCAAAATTCCAAGTGGAGTGGAAGACTCTTCAGATGAAGGAACATGCGTGCCGTCAGCATGTAAACTATCACCCAATTCACAATAAAAACTGAAAAATAACAATAATAAAAATGAAAATAAAGAATTAAAATATAAATAAACCTTACCTGGCCTTTGGAATCTGAAATAAGTCCTAGAGGAATAAGGCAGTCTGGCTCACGTGCGTGTCCTGCTTCATCCACAAATACGTGTGTAAAATGTCCAACTCTAGATCCAAAAATTATTTTACATTTTAATTTGGGAGGGAACATTAAGTTGTCAGAATATTTTAGGCAATCACTGGCTTTTTAGATATTGATTGACCATTTTGAATCCCCCCCCAGAAGTAACGATCCACACTATAGAAAATATAATCGAGGCAGCAGAGTATATTGGTTATTAACATGGATTTTTGGTATGGTGTGGGGTAATAATAAATAATAACCACCTCGACAGGTTTGTTATTATAAAGATTAAATGATTCATGCTATTAAAGAACTCAGCACAGTACCTAGCCAATTGTCAGTGACATGTGTATGTTAAATAGAGATGGAAGGGGGAAAAGAGTAAACATGAATAAATTATTGAACTTTATACAAGCAGTAAAGCTAGAAAATTCACATTCTATATCTTGAATTTATTATGTTAAAAATAGTTTCTAGTGATTACGGTAACAGATGCTCTATTCAAAATGTTTGAAATCTGGTTTCACTCACTTATTTATTAGCAGGTTACTTAGTTTCTTTGTGCCAGTTTGCTCGCTTGTAATTTTGGTACAACCAGCATTATCTATTACCTTCTACTTATTGGTGAGAAATTAGAGGTGTCAGTTAGAATAGGGCCTGACACACAGCAGGAGTTCAAGAGATGTTACATGTTCTATTTTTGGTTTTGTTTTATTTTGATTAAGCCTTAGAGTCATAATATCAGAGATTACTCTGTCTTCACAAATGTAGAAACTGAGGTACAGTGAAATTGTGTTGTAACACAAAAATATCAATTCACGTTTTTCTGAGCATTTATGATGTATCAGGCACTGTGCTAAGGTTTCTTTTTTTCCCATGCATTCTCATTTAATCTCCACAAGGATCCCATGAGGAAAGTATCATATTACCCCATCCTAACATATGAGGAAACTGAGCTTGAAGCAGATAGCTACTTCATCTAATATCACAAAGCTATTAAGTGACAGGAGACTAATGAAATCTCAGGTCTATTTTCTTGCTGTGCCTGAGCTCTTCACCAGTAATTTTATTTCCTCTCTGACTTCCCAAACAAGCCAGATTTCTTGAATCTCGGACCCTCAGTTTTCTCAACTATGAAAAGAGAGACAAATACTACCCTAAGTTTCTTAGGTGGTTTCAAGTACCTAAGAGTTCCTATACCTTTGGTGCTCCAGAAATGAAAGTTGTTATTTTTGTTTTCCAACTAATTAGAAATTGTGCTGAGTTAATTCATGTCTTAAAAAGCACGCCTGCCACAGAGGACTAGAGTGGAGAGTGAAGCATCCAGCTGATAAGAAGACGAGAGGGCATATGCATAAGAATACCCACACTTGCAGATAATACCCGCTTGACTTGGCTTCAATGACTGGATGATCAGACCTCAACTAGAAGAAGGAAGAAGAAGAAGAAAAATAATAATCTGATTCAATTTGAAAACCCTCTTCCAAGACTAAGACTCAATGGGAATACATGCTCTGATTGGTGACCACGTTCATCACCGAGGGAAAAACAGCAATGAAGCTGTGAGCTA